GGGGAAAAAAAAAAAAAAAAAAAAAAAAGATTTTTGATTTATTTAGAAAAATGTTGTGGTCTCGGTTAGGATTAAGTACTCAGGGAAAATGACGTGGGATCTCACAATCTATCCCTTGCCCCCTTGAGTCCAGTATCCTCACTAGCACCTCGCCTTTGGCTCTAATCTCTTTTGTAACATCTCAAGTCCACTGCTAGTAGATATTGTCTATTTTAGCTCGTTACGTATCGTTGTCAGTCTCACGACTTTTAAAACACCTATACTAGGGAAAAGTTTCCACCCCTTTATAAGAAATGTTTCTTTTCCCTCCCCAACCGATGTGGGATCTCACAATCCACCCCCCTTAGGAGCATAACATCCTTGCTGACACACCACCCAGTGACTGGCTCTGATACCATTTGTAATAGCCTAATTCTACTGTTAACCGATATTGTCTACTTTGGACCGTTACGTATCACCGTCAACCTCACGATTTTTAAAACACGTCTACTAGGGACAGGATTCCACACTTTTATAAAGAATGTTTTGTTCTCCTCTCCAATCGAGGTGGGATCTCACACGGTGGGTGACGTTCTCCTCAAATCATTTCTCCTAGATTAGAAGGAAACTAAAAGTTGTTATTAGTATTTATATGATCTACAAGACCAAACATATATGGTGTCTCTTAAATGATTGAGTATCATATGGCATGGGCAAACAATCAACTTCCATTCATACAACCAAGTATATATAAAGAAACTCCATTTTTTTCTTCACACATGGATGGCTGCCCCAAAAAAGCCTGAGTTGAATGAAACATAAGCCTTCTTCACCACCAAAACAATTTATGAAGCTAAAATGGCACCTAAAATTAGGCATTAAACCTTTTGTGGTCTATGACTTCTCTTCATTATGTTATAAAAACTTCATTTCAACACTCAATTTCATCATCAAATCTACAACACCATTCAATAATGTCTTCACTAACCATCTCAACATCATCCACATTCATCATCTTCTTCTTTCTTTGTCTCATCACCAATGGCCTAGCTGCTGATTTCCATGTCAAAAGATATGGAGCAAAAGCCAATGGCAACTCAGATGATAGCCAGGTTTGTTCCTATGGCACAAAATCTTATCATTATAATGTAGCTAGTTCTAACACGAAGTTGAATAACGTTTCGATTTTGAGTTTGAGAAAGCTAAAAGTTGATGAATTTGTGATGGGTTTTTGGTTTTGTTTGTAATTTAGGCGATTATGAGGGCTTGGAAGGATGCTTGCATGTCAAGAAAGGCAAGCAAAGTAGTGATATCTGGTGGGAGATATGTGGTGAATTCGATGAAGTTTAAAGGGCCATGCATGGCACCCATTCATATTCAAATGGAGGGCAGACTCGAAGCGCCCCTCAATATTCAACACATGAAATCTGACGACAATTGGATCATTTTTGAGTACATCAATGCTTTAACAATTTCTGGAAAAGGCATTTTTGATGGCCGAGGATCTCTTGCTTGGAAGCAAAATCAATGCGCTTCTTCTGGCAAATGCGACTCTCTCCCTATTGTGAGCGTTCGTTTCGTTAAAATATTCATTTTGGTCCTTAAAACTTCTACGCACCATTAACCATGCATGTTTTACAAGAAGTTTTCTTGGATTGCAAGCTAACGAATGCGTATTGTTTACAATAGAGCTTGAGATTCTACCGCCTCAACAACACTATAATTCGAGGCATAACTTCAACAGACAGCAAGTTCTTCCACATGAACCTGCACAACTGTAGGAACATGACCCTTCAAAACATCATCATCAATGCCCCTGGCGTAAGTCCCAACACCGACGGGATCCATATTGGAGGATCGAGTGGGGTGACTATAAGCAATGCCAGGATCGAAACGGGTGACGATTGTGTCTCGATCGGCGACGGAAGCCAACAGATAACCATCGAGAAGGTGACATGCGGTCCTGGCCACGGGATTAGCATTGGAAGCCTTGGAAAGTACAAGAATGAGAAGCCAGTGTCTGGAGTCATTGTCAGAAATTGCACAATCAAAAACACCATGTTCGGAGTTAGGATCAAAACATGGCCAGATTCTACGCAAGGGATTGCCACCAATATGCACTTTGATAGCATTGTGATGAACAATGTTGGCACTCCTATCCTAATTGACCAACAATATTGCCCATATGGAAAGTGTCGATTCAAGGTATTTCTATGTTTAATACGTTCTTCTTTAAAAAACTTAAACCCCATTAGATAACTATTTGATTTTAGAATGTGATTTGTGTTGAACCTATAGATTCCATCCAGAGTTGCAATAAGCGATGTCAGATTCAGGAACATCGTAGGGACATCGACAACTCGAGTGGCTGTAAAGCTTGTGTGCAGCCGAGGGTATCCGTGCAAGAACGTGAAGCTATCAAACATAAACTTGAGATACATAGGCACCAATGGCACAGCCATATCAGAATGTTCGAATGTGAAGCCTACAATATCTGGAAGAGTGATGCCGCCACCCTGCACTAGGGCCTTTGCAATATGATTCATCCAAAACCCAACAAAACAAAACATATGAATATATGAATACTAGCACCCTTTCATGCTTTTTAATGTACATGAGCATGATGAGAGGTGAAGTTTCAATGTATCCCATAATCGGGTTATTCCTCACATATATTTAGGCTCAAATGTTACGGTCACACTATATATATATATATAAATACATACAAAATATAAATTTCCATAAATTTCGATGGATTAACATTTCGGTTGGATATGTTTAGAGATTTGAATCTTTCGTAAAAAATGTAAATTTATCATATTGTTTTTAAAAAAAATTAAAATAACCTTCGAAATAATTTTATTATGTCGAGGAAAGTTGATTTTGATACATGATTGCTGTCATCTGGATATGGTTTTGGTTCCTGCGTATATCCATTTTTTACTTCAGTGTTACATGGGTTATTCGACATACCCAACGTATAAAATACACAAACTCTAGAAGGCTTGGCTATAAACAACCGAGCCATTCAGTCCCAACCTTCTTCATTCCTTCTTTTCTTTCCAATTGTTGTTGTCAGTAGTGCACGGTTGTCTAGTATCATAAAAAAATATCGTTTAAAGAGGAAAATAATAAGTTTACGTGAGCCTCGTTGTTTTATGTCGATTCAACTTTAGTTGTGACATAGCACTGATGGTTACTCGACATTTTTAATATAAAAGTTGCGACACCAAAGTTAGAAGTTTGACTTGCCGAATGATAGCAAGGAGACTTAGGTCGTAACCCAATTGTTTCATAGGAGTTTCGTAACTGTAAAGCCACATGATTTTGGGTCGTGTGTTATTTGCAATTGGGCTGATGTATAGGTATTTTAAATGTAGGTTCGATCTAAGACAACTAGACCAATAAGTCAAAATTGCTAAAGCAAAGTTTCTATGTAAGGCGCGTTACACGTGTTTATTCGGTAGCCAGTCACTAAAGATCACATAAGGTAATTGTTGATAACTATTTTCGTGGTAAGAGTTACACTCTGCATTTATAGTAACCAACTATGGTTGATGATTGAGGAGTGATTGCTGAAAATAGTTTTTTTGGTGAATAAATTAGTTGATTACAAATATCTAAGGCTTAAATCGTCGAAGTTTGAAGTCATAGAGACAAAAATGCTACTAAACTCAAATCTCAAATGTTAAAGGTGTTCCATTTTTTGATATTGACCTAACTTACAACGGAAAGGAAGGACCGACCAAGTCTGAATGTACAAATGTGAAACCGGCCGTTACTGGAAAGCAAAACACTAAAATATGTGCCTAATGATGCTCCATCAACCCACTATTCTTTTCCACAGCGACCCTTTCAAACCATTTTTGTTCTAAGTTTCAAAATTACATTGGTTTGCTCCATCGAATATAATGTGAAGCGGACCATTTACTTTATTTCAAAAATTGTATTCATATTCTTTAAAGCGAAATCACATGTAGAAAATGATATTGAACAATGATCTTGTTCGAGCATGTTTAATTTTTTATAATGAAAATGACTCCAACTCTGATACACACTTGTCATTAGCTAGCCATGTCACCACTAACACTAACCTAAAACAAAGAGTAGCATAATTGAATATAATAATACTCAATGAATAGCTCATTTATACCTTTATTAAAATATTTCAATCTTACTTTTGGGTCATCGACGATATTCACATAACGTTTAAGATTTGGATACTAGTTACTTATCTTCTAGCTCATTTGAGTTCACTTCAATCCCCGGTGTCACATGACCTTGTTGGTTAATTACATGATCCAATAGCATATAATGCCCACAATGTCATTTATATTTACCCATTTAGTATACTTCAAATAGTCCATATCGAGCATGTTTACCTGTAGTCAATTATTTAATTTGACTCAATCATCACAATTCAACCTATGCAACAAAGATTCAGTTAACTTGTCAAAACTAAGATTATCCTTAGTGACAAATTATCGTAATTAGGTTTGATGTTTCTTCAACGTTTTTGACGAGCGTGATTTCGTCCTCCGACGATCACGATTCTTCTAATGTTTTGTAAGTAGCAAGACAAACCTAAAATAATTGAACAACAATGAGATCAAAAGTGTTTGGGTGGAGAAGAAGGATGAACATTAGCTTTTAATGAGGTTGTGATGATTCCCTTCTCAAATTAATGCCATGAAAGTCTCCCAAACATGTCCGAGTAAATTTAGAAATTTACAACACCACAAATATAACTTTTGGTCGTGGTTGATTCACCTAAAATTAGGCATCGAACGTTGTGTGGTCTATGACTTTTCTTCATTCTTATATAAAAACATGATTTCAACACTCATTTTCATCATCAAATCTACAAAACCATTCAATAATGTCTTCACTAACCATTTCAAGATCATCCACATTCATCATCTTCTTCTTTCTTTGTCTCATCACAAATGGCCTAGCTGCTGATTTCCATGTCAAAAGATATGGAGCAAAAGCCAATGGGAACTCGGATGATAGCCAGGTGTTTTCATCGAAATTCTTAATTTTTCGATGTGATCATTATAATATAGCTTGTTCGAACACGAAAAACAGCTACATTGTGATGAATAATGTTTCGATTTTGAGTTTGAGAAAGCTAAAAGTTGATGAATTTGTGATGGGTTATTTGTTTTGTTTGTAATGTAGGCAATTATGAGGGCTTGGAAGGATGCTTGCATGTCAAGAAAGGCAAGCAAAGTAGTGATATCTGGTGGGAGGTATGTGGTGAATTCGATGAAGTTTAAAGGGCCATGCATGGCACCCATTCATATTCAAATGGAGGGAAGACTCGAAGCGCCCCTCAATATTCAACACATGAAATCTGACGACAATTGGATCATTTTTGAGTACATCAATGCTTTAACAATTTCTGGAAAAGGCATTTTTGATGGCCGAGGATCTCTTGCTTGGAAGCAAAATCAATGCGCTTCTTCTGGCAAATGCGACTCTCTCCCTATTGTGAGCGTTCGTTTCGTTAAAATATTCATTTTGGTCCTTAAAACTTCTACGCACCATTAACCATGCATGTTTTACAAGAAGTTTTCTTGGATTGCAAGCTAACGAATGCGTATTGTTTACAATAGAGCTTGAGATTCTACCGCCTCAACAACACTATAATTCGAGGCATAACTTCAACAGACAGCAAGTTCTTCCACATGAACCTGCACAACTGCAGGAACATGACCCTTCAAAACATCATCATCAATGCCCCCGGCGTAAGTCCCAACACCGACGGGATCCATATTGGAGGATCGAGTGGGGTGACTATAAGCAATGCCAGGATCGAAACGGGTGACGATTGTGTCTCGATCGGCGACGGAAGCCAACAGATAACCATCGAGAAGGTGACATGCGGTCCTGGCCACGGGATTAGCATTGGAAGCCTTGGAAAGTACAAGAATGAGAAGCCAGTGTCTGGAGTCATTGTCAGAAATTGCACAATCAAAAACACCATGTTCGGAGTTAGGATCAAAACATGGCCAGATTCTACGCAAGGGATTGCCACCAATATGCACTTTGATAGCATTGTGATGAACAATGTTGGCACTCCTATCCTAATTGACCAACAATATTGCCCATATGGAAAGTGTCGATTCAAGGTATTTCTATGTTTAATACGTTCTTCTTTAAAAAACTTAAACCCCATTAGATAACTATTTGATTTTAGAATGTGATTTGTGTTGAACCTATAGATTCCATCCAGAGTTGCAATAAGCGATGTCAGATTCAGGAACATCGTAGGGACATCGACAACTCGAGTGGCTGTAAAACTTGTGTGCAGCCGAGGGTATCCGTGCAAGAATGTGAAGCTATCAAACATAAACTTGAGATACATAGGCACCAATGGCACAGCCATATCAGAATGTTCGAATGTGAAGCCTACAATATCTGGAAGAGTGATGCCGCCACCCTGCACTAGGGCCTTTGCAATATGATTCATCCAAAACCCAACAAAACAAAACTATGAATATATGAATACTAGCACCCTTTCATGCTTTTTAATGTATATGAGCATGATGAGAGGTGAATTGTATCCCTTGATGATAGGGGGTTTCTTTTAGAGCCAAATTATGGGCACCCAAAATATACATACCAAATATAAAATTCCATACTTTATGGTTTCATTTGAAATTGGATAAGTATCTTTAATTATTCAAGACATTCTTGCTTTCTTTGGAGCTCTGAATGTAGGTTAAAGTTAATAGGTAGGGTTAATATAAAATTCCATACCGATCTTAGCAAATGCGTGGAAGGAAGCATGTGTCCACTGGCCCTGGACCCTGTGGCACATACGTGTGTCACAGTGTGGGCGAGCGTGCCGAAACGAGTGTCTCGGGCGACTTCTTTTGAAATGGGTTTTTTAAGAACAGTACCGGGCGACATTGGTGGGTATTGTGCCCCATCCCGCGTGTTGGAGGTTGCTACATACACCCGCTATCCAGCATGGTATCTGTAAATGACACGGCATGGACACGGGAGGGCCAATGCCTTGATAGAACCCGGATGGATGGATGTTCGGGAAGTCCCGATGAAATGGGCGACATGCGAGCCCGTTCTCGATGGCATAATCAAATGAGTTATGATGGCCAATGATATCTCGAGACTCAGGATGACGCCATGAACCATGTCGATAGGGATTGAGATGACAAGATTGGGATGCGATGTTGCATTAAGAGACCTTAGCCCAAGCAGAGGCAAGGTCGAGCCGAATGACTTGGCCTAGTGTAGGGGCAACGCGAGCCCGCTTTCGAAGATTATAACGAGCAATACTAAGAAACCCTATTCCTATAGACAAGGGTTGAAAAGAAAGATTAATTTGTTGAAATTGTATACTTAATGTAGCAAGTGTTAGTCGTTATCAAGGCAATAATTATCCCTTCATAACATATTTTATTCCCCTTCCTATTATGTCATTTTCAAACTTATATATGTTTTAAAAAAGCTTGAAAATAGATGTGGTTGGAATTGAAGCCAACCACTTACTTGGAAAATCGTATTCCTTAAGCAAGAGATAAGATTTTAAAAGACCTTTTTTTATTTTTTATTTTTTTTAATTTACTAAAAAGCTACTTTTTCCACAATAAAAATGTTTACTTTATTTATAGTGTGTTTGGCTTAATTATTTTGATTAATATATATAACCAATTTTATTTCATGATTCTTTCCCATTCGACAAAAGTGTTTTGATAATTTTTGCCCAATTCAAATCAGTGTAGGTTGTGCTCGGTTTAAATAAATGAAAATTTTATAGATTGGGTCTGTTCCAGATTCTCTTAAAACTAGATTGAGTTGAACCAAGCATTCCGAATTTAGAATTAATTTTAAAATTACATTATTTTTATTATTTATTTTTCAAAAAATTTTAAAATTAAATTTTAACTATTTACCAAATAAATTTTCATGAAATTGTGTAGTAATTCTTAATTAAATTTTTTAAAATAAATAATTAGTTTTTTTTTAGGAAATAACATTTTTACAAAATTTAAATAAATAATCTTAACAACTTGATCCACTCGAGCCCAAAAATTATAAGGTTGAGTTGGGTTAAGTTTATTATTTAATAAGAATTATTTGGATTGAAAAAATTTACCGACTGAACAATTAGATTAGATCTAAAAAAATCTCTGACTCATTCGAATCCATGAACACCTCTAATTCGTACCGAACAACTTCTTAAAATCTATTCATTTAAATTTATATAATCTTAGTAAAACGAAGATAACAGCACAAGAAAATCGATAACGGGAAGTCGTGCATATACGCTTACATTTCAAAACTTTAAAAAAAAATTAAATAGTTATCAAACACGACCCTCTCGGGATCTTTCATTAACTTTTTCTCCAAATGTTTGATTGCTTGAGAAAGGAGAACGAAAAAGACAAAGAAAGTAATAATGAAGCAAGATAGAATAAAGTCCATCTTTTGGTATTAAATTGCAAATTGCACATAAAACAAGGGGCTATTTGCAAAACCAATATAAATTTAAGAAATTTAAGAAATTTAAGAAAATAAATTATAATTAATCAATGATTTATTTATTAATTTTTGAAAATTCACATCACAATAATCAATTATTTCATTTTTATAGACAAACAAATAAATAAAAGCCGACTTTTTTAGAAAAGGAAGTATAAAGTTTGTCTCTTAATATAAATTTTAAATTCCTAACTCAACTTCGTTACTCTAGCCATGTAGCTTAGCTTTAACTTAAGCATAATTTTAATAAATTAATCGTCTTATTAAAATTCCATCATTACTCTTTTACAAAAATGGTTTAACTCTTCAATACTCGTCGTCGCGTATTTTCATGAGTATTCATCAACTAGTTCTGTAAATTACATGAACTACAACTTTCATAAACAACTTGTTGAATGGATGACAAAGCGTAGGAGGCATATGAGTACAATACTTTACACACAAATGCTTCTCCAGCTCCCTAACATCTCAAACAGACTATTCACATAGACATATTGACCCGAAATTGGGATATGAGTCCCGTACATTTCTTTTGAACTTAGAAACAAAAACCCAAGATCAAATTCGATTTTTTTTTAGGGTGGATTCATCTCTATATACTCCAACATGAACACGAACAAATTAGGGTTTGGTTTTCTATTGTGGGGTATGAATAAAGGGCTTTAGACCAAACCCAAAAAATGAAAAGGAATCCTCTTCACAACATGCATAGTGAAGAATAATAATGAATAGATTCAATTGATAAATATATATATATATACATTGTATAAGAGAAGAGTGGTAGTGACTAGCACTCCACCACCACTCAAGTGCACATTACCTCCCATTAAAGCCAAAGTTGAGAGGGTGTTGACTCTCTTTTATTTTGTTTCTTCCCACTTAATCATTATGAATAATACGATAAGATCCCACATCGGTTGGAGAGGATAACGAATCATTTTTTAAAGGTGTGGAAACATCTTCCTAATAGGCACGTTTTAAAAAGTTTGAAGGAAAGTTCAAAGAAGACAATATCAGCTGATAACTCATTCAAAAGGCAAAAGATGACAAATTAGATTGAAAATCTTTGTAATTTGTGAACTAATACACTATTTTGTACAACAACATATACATATATGTGTAAATTTCGAAACTCAGATCCAACTCGAACGGCTAATTCGAACATAACTCAATAATTTAAACGCTCGCACAAAAATCCCAATCCAAAGTATGATCCAATGGCTCTATAACAATTATTGATTCTATAGCATCGATTTGTCTCATTGAAAACCAGATCCAATCGAAACTAAAGAAACCCATTTACATTAAGATTGCATATCGCATGCTGTCGCTTACCATAAGATGATTAACTTCCGAGATTCTTGGAAACTCGCCAGAGACCCACATCCCGTCGACGCCATTAACGTGAGGTTGAGAGAAGCAAGAGAGAAGCGAAAATGGGGTTCGAAGGAGAGTGTAAATCATTGAAAACCCATATGAATTTCCTTCTCTCCGGTTGCCATCGATCACCGTAGCTCCGCCGTCAGCTCCGCCGCCGGCGCTGTACATGCTTTCATCTGCCACTCGTGGGCTCTTCCTTATGTTGTGGAGGTTTCTTCTCACGGCCGCCGCCAACCGCCACATGGGATTCTCGAGATGGAGAGGCTATTTTGAGAAGAAGGTTATGTAGATTGGGAGTTTAATAATGGGAGAGTTTGAGATAGTGTTGTAGTTGGTGGGTGTTTATCATGTAGGTTTATGGTCACCTTTTTAAGGTCCTTTGAATGGGGGTGAGATTTTTCTTTTTTTAAACAATTTATTTGGGGTCCATTCATATCCAACCCAACATGCCGACAATGTTACCTAATTATTCACAAATCAATCTTACATGTTTTATTTTCTTATTCTTTTTGGATTAAGGCAAAGAAAAAAATTAAAAAAATTAAAAGCTTTATCACCCAAATAATTCTTAATTGCCCATACCCAAAATAAAGAAATGGGTTCAATAGCTCAGACGGCTATAGAAACGAAACGACACTTTATAAGTTAAATTTCAAAGAAGAACTTTAACCATTTATGTATTTAATAAGTTTGTAACATATCTATTAGACATGAACTCGATTATGTATATAGATAAGCATTTGAAAGGGTATGTGGTGGGTGAATTTGGAGTATTGGAAGAAATTTGTTAGAGGAAGTGGGAAGAAGAATGAAATGAGGAACAGTTTTGTGATAAGGACTTAGCCACAAACAAAAATCAAATGGCCAATTTGTGAGTGCTTCTCCACTATATCTCATGTTGCTATCAACTTTCACTTAATCAATTTTCTAAATTTCAATATATTCTCGATCAAAAAAATTAAAATTTTGATGAATTAATTTAAAATTAGAATAATTTCAAACTCAAAATGATCCATTTATGACATTGGTTTTGATTGATTTATAGTATTTATCACCATTTCATTTTATTTTTTTGCTTTAATTTTATAATATAAAGATTTTGATTTTTTTTTTTTTTTTTTTTTTTTTT